AAAAAAAAAAAAATCAAGAAAGAATTTTTCTTTGCCTTTTCGTGGATAATTACAGCTGTCCGGCTCTGTTCTAAAGAACTCTTAGGCTAACAAGAATTCAAAAGATAATTCTTACAAGAAATATATAGTTTCCTACCCTGTATGACTCTGGCTAATAGTTTTCATGCGATCTAGATTTTGATTGGCTGTTAGCCTACCAATAATATATTAAAATTCTAACATGGCGCGGAGGCTTATGAAAATACATAGAGTTTGAGGGATGAATCATGAATTCTCTTGTTCTAACTCCCTCAAACCTCGGCGTCATATTAGAAATTTAACATGCGCTATTCAAGATTGCCATGAGCAGTTTGCCTGAATAAACATTGCCACATCCCTATCGATACTTTTTTACATGTGTATGATAACTGAATTCGGTTTTTGCCTTATAATGTGGTTCAATACTCATCCAATAATTGATTACTTTCTACTGACAGCTAGAGTGATTTTGATCAAAATTTCAATAATGAATAACGTTATTACTTTAGAATACAATTGCAACTGATTCATGCACAAGCTACATTAAATGACTGGTGCGCCTCCGCCGTTCACTGGCCCTACATTTTAACAATTCTTGCAGTTCTCTTTCGCAGTCGTATCTGATGTCGTAACGAAACGAAACGCTGTGTGACGCAATGTTGAACCGTTGCGTGACGTCACTAAATGAAGTGCTGCATGACGTTCCTTAGACGGCTGCGAAAGAGCTGTTGCTGTAGAAACTCCATTACTGTCAATAACTAAAAAAACGTCACGCAACAGGCATCCACAATCTGATTGCGGGACCCGTTAAAAGGAGACATTTCCAAAACCAAGGTTTCAAAGTTTGAAAGAAAAAAGTGTTTGTACAGGTGAATCATAAACCAAACATTTCGTCATCAGCTTGGTTTTCCATCTGCATCTGTCTCTGTCTTGGCCGGCTGGCTCCTGACTTTACACTACCGGTCCGCTGACCGCCTGCTGCTGCACGATCCGCAAGGAACTGGTCGAACTCTGAAATGAAAGCAAAGGAAAGTTTCAAACTACAAATGTTCCTTTTAATGACAGCATGTACAGGCATGTGCAGTACGGGTTCGTGGCCCCAAGGAAAAGTAAACAGTACCTGGATAACTGTGTATATGATGTACTCAATAACACGGCGATGTGTGGCGAAAGATAAAAAGTGACAAGTCATGTTCTCGTGGTAAGCCCAAAAAACGTGGACTCGGCGAATTTAATAGCTAATTCCCACGGTAGTTGTACTCATCATCTTGGACTGGATACTTGTTTTGACCAATACAACAACTAGAATTTCTTGCAGGGGGGTCTAATAGAGGGAGTTGGCCACCGCTGCTATAGTCGGTAGACCGCCGCTTTATATTCGAAAGAAAGAAATCCTGGGAGCGAGAAGCGCTTCTCGCTTTCGCGCGGCTTTCTTTCACGTCACTCACGACGGACTAAGTGAAAGAGGGACTACTCGTAGTCTACATTACCCTGTGAGAGCTCAAGAATTTTTGTCCACTTGTCTGCCGCAATCATCAACACTGAAATTAGTCTATGTATCATATCAACACAATAATTTTTTCATCGTTCTCGATAAGATTTGTAGTAATCAGGACAACAAAGAAAGTAATCAACCAGTGTCGTAACCGAGCCCGTGACCAAAATGACCCAACCAGAAGGCCGTATTTTCACACGCCATTCTAGCGCCATCTTACCGGTCCTTTTTGGTCACTAGTGCTCAAAGGTGCCTCTTTTGTCGGGTACTTTCTTTATAGTTCCTCTTTACTACTACGATTCACAAACCTGAAGAAGTTAGTGTGTCTCCATTTGCGGCCTGCTGGGCAGCAGCGGCTTCTGCATTGGCCTGTTAAATAAAAAGTGATATCAGCTCGTTGTTAACTCAGTGGGAGAGCTAGAAGGTTAATATCCTTGGTTTCTGTTTATCACATACCGATGGAGAGTGGCCAGGTAAACATAGCAACAGTATCAGCCAATATTCACCCCCTTTAGCCCTGCTTTACAGCCGATATCAACGCTCACTTTGCACAGGAGATTTTTCTTTCACGTCTTGAAATGTCAAGGCAATTAGGGAAAGAGCCAAGAGGTTATGTTTTGGGATTCCGAGCTTCTAGTTGTTTTAAACCCTGACTAAACGGACTCCAAGTAGACGCAAGTTGAGAACTTGGGTCTACTTGTGTTGAATTCCGATAACGTACGCTCACTTTGGTCGAGATCAAATTTACACGCAAGTCGACGCACGTTTTTCACAGTTTGGCCACCCAACCCAAGTCAACGCAAGTCGAGTGACGTCCATTCGTTGTTATAGCAACTTATTAGCCAATGAAGTACTAAGCCCGTAGCCTTGAAATGTTGCTTTTCGCGACTTCCGTGTACTTGCGAGGACTGAACTTGCGAATCCGTTTAGCCAGCCAATGCAAGTCTCTACCCAAGTTCAACTTGCGACTACTTGCGAGTCTGTTTGGCCAGGGAATTACACAATACAGTGGGACCCCCGTTAATCCGGTCACCAACGAGCCACAAAAATCTGGCCGTATTCAGAACGGGGAGGTCGTATTGAAGGGGTTCTTTAAATAAGAAAATGACTGACTGAGCTTTTTTTCGGGCAAGAATAAAGTAGTTGTAATAACAAGGTGACCGTATTAACGGTGTGGTCGCAAGGCGGGGTTCCACTGTAACGCGTCTAATCTTGTAAGACAACAGTAATCTACAAAGTAACAGTTTGGCTATCAAGATGACTTACCACATCAGTTTCTGTGACGTTAAGCCATGACTCAATATCATCCATTGGGCTAACAAAGAAAAAGAGTCTTCAGTTAGACACAAGTTGACGTGATCATGTTGTTGCCATTTAAAGTCCACTGAATTTTGGAGTTGGTATGCATGACCAGCACGTATGACGTAACATGGTCAACTTTACAGCTTTGAGAGAGTTCGTAGCAGTTTGTCCAAGTGCCTCATTCAAAAGAAATTTGCCACATATGATCTTTCAACAGCCTTGCAAGGTTATTACTTAGTGGGATGTTCAAAATGTAGTTACGGTATAAACTTCTCATTACTGGTTGTATTGACCATAGTGTACCTCTGCTGTAAACATTTAATTTAATTTATTTAATCTGGCTTTAACTACGAGTAGTCCCTCTTTCGCTTAGTCCGTCGTGCGTGACGCGAAGAAAATCGCGAGAAAAAAATGGCCGCGTGAAATCCTGGGGGCGAGACGCGCCCCCAGGATTTCGCGCGGCCATTTTTTAATCACAGTTTTCTTTCGCGTCACGCACGACGGACTAAGCGAAAGAGGGACTACTCGTAGTCTATAATCTGGCTCCCTGGCGTATTTAACTTTTTAGTTATTTCAGGGTGCTGATATAGTTGATATCTGTAATATAATTGTAACTTATTTTTCTGATGTGTACAATAATTTGTTGCTGCTGCTGTTGGTTTTTACACTTTCTTTCAGTCTGAAGGATGAATTGCTGTTAATTAGTTTAACCGCCAGAATTTTTCAACTGAGTGTCGTAAAACCAAAACCAAAGAAGACAAAAAAAAAGAATCACTCCGGCCAATAACAAACTACACAAAACATTCAGTGAACCAATCAAAACTCGAAGTACTCAAGTAACAAAAAGCCGGAACCGGAAAAAGGAGTGCAAGCGAGCCACAAGATAACAGTTTATTCCTACCTTCGTTCTTCTGTCTGTTTAAATAAAAAAAAAAGACAAAAATCCGGAGTTAGAAGAAAATCTAGAGAAGCATTAACAAGACTGCAAACGGGATTTTGTCATTCAAGTACTCGACAATCAATATATACTCTCGGGCAACGACTGAACTAGCTTGGGATTCATGTCTACAAATGCAGATTAAATGCGCTTATTTTAATTATACGTGGCCAAAAAAATAGATGCTTATCTTCTCTTGCCCAACTCTACAAAGATTAATTTACTGTCTCTGATACGTTATACGCTGCGTAGCAGTTATATTCTTTGCATATTTTGCATCCAGTTACAATGTCGCTGTAGGACACTGCCTAGAGCTCTAATTAACAATTAGACTCGTAGCCCGCAAGGGCTACGGGTCAATAGCCCATGAGGCGAAGCCGAATGGGCTATTGAACAGTGGCCCTTGAGGGCGAAGGGTCTAATTGTTTCAGTATCACCCAACTAGTCGGACAGAAAAGAGAATAATAAAGTTAGCAAATGCAAGTTGAAGAAATATTTATTTGGGAAAAGCGTCACGCTCGATTGCGCCAATTTCGCTACTCGAGGACTATTACTAAT